CAGTGCCAATCGCTGTGATTTATGACAGGGATGTGCGGTTCACTTCCAGGTTCTGGAAGAAATTTCATGACGAGCTGGGTACTCGTCTGCACTTTAGCACTGCTTTTCACCCGCAGACGGATGGTCAGAGTGAGTGGACCATCCAGACTCTAGAGGATATGCTGCGGGCATGTGTTTTAGACTTCAGAGGTAGTTGGGATACTTACCTTCCTTTGGCTGAGTTTTCCTATAATAACTGCTATCATGCGAGTATTGGCCGTCCTCCCTTCGATATGTTGTACGGCAGGAAGTGCAGGACCCCGATATGTTGGGGTGAGGTTGGCCAGAGGGTCATGGGGAGTACCGAAGTGGTACTCAAGACCACGGAGAGGATCCAGCAGGTGCAGAGCAGGCTTCAGACCGCTCAGAGTCGGCAGAAAAGCTATGCTGACAGACGTCGTTCGGACCTGGAATTCCAGGTCGGGGATATGGTGCTCCTGAAGGTGTCGCCTTGGAAAGGCGTCATTCGGTTCAGGAAGAGGGGCACGTTGGGCCACAGGTACATTGGACCTTTCAAGGTCGTCGCCCGGGTGGGCAAGGTGGCGTATAGGCTGGACCTGCTAGCTGAACTCAGTCAGATTCATAGCACTTTTCACGTCTCCCAGTTACGGAAGTGTCTGGTGGACGATTCGGCAGTGGTGCATTTGGAGGATATTCAGGTGGATGACAGCCGGAACTACATTGAACGGCCTTTGGTGATCCTCGACAGGAAGTCGAAGGATCTGAGGAACAAGAGGGTCGAGCTGGTGAAGTTGCAATGGCAGCACCGCAAGGGCTCGGAATGGACTTAGGAGCCGTAGGACGAGATGAGGGAGCACTACCCCGAGCTTTTTCAGGACGCAGCAGCAGACTTCGAGGACGAAGTCTAAAATAAGTGGGGGAAATTTGTAACACCTGGTTCCTGGTACGTATTTAAATTCAAGTATTTTGGTATTCTACTCTGGGACTCGGCGAGTTGGAGGCCCAACTCGTCGAGTAGACTCGACATTATGCGGGGGTTTTAGTGATCTACTCGACGAGTCGGGGGACCGACTCGACGAGTAGGAGCTGTCTGGGCAAAACCATAATATTTAGAGTTTGCACCCTATTTAAACATTTTATCTCGTCCCAAACCAGCCTCCATCACCCCTCCCAACTTAGAGAATCCCTATATTGAAACCCTAACCTTGTTTGAGTGATCTTAAGCCATTTTTGGTGTGTTTTGTGGTAGTTTGAAGTTTGAATAAGAGAAGGAAGCTTGGAAGATCAAGAGAAGACTAGTTGATCCAGAGGTTTTGATTTATTTCCATCCCATTCAAGGTAAAAAGCTTCAACCTTGACTTCTCATTTGATAGATCTCCTCTAGGGCTTAGATCTTATCATTTTGGGGCATTTCTAAGGCCATATTCGGATTGAGTGTGTATCATCGAGTTTCACTTCAGATCTTGAACCATTGAGGGTTCCTATGGCATAAAGGTGCCAACTTTATGGCCATGGAAAGCCCATGCATCTTATAAACCCCCTTTTCATGGATTTTGTAGCCAAAAACCCTATGCATTGACATCAAGTTCGTAGTTTTACGTATGAAATGGACCTTAGGAAGTCAGATCTATGGTTTTGATGCATTAAGATCCATTATAATCGGCTGTATAGTTTTGGACTAGGAGGGACTCGGCGAGTCGCTTGGGTGACTCGGCGAGTCGGGACGCATTTTCCCCCAAACGTCTTCTGGAAATGGTTTTGGTTGAGTGGAAGGAACACTCAGCCTGCTAGGGGTTTGTTTGGACCTGGAAATCATAGGACTCGACGAGTGGATGAACAGACTCAGCGAGTTCAAGGTAATGTCCCAACCATATGAAGACAGACTCGACGGGTTCAAGGATGAACTCGGCGAGTCATAGACTGAACATCTTCATATGGATGAAGATGAACTCGACGAGTTCAAGGACGAACTCGGCAAGTCGGTTGAAGATAGTCAGATGGGTGGTTGAATGCGAACTCCTCGAGCTCTTGTTAGACTCGACGAGTAAGGACGGGATTATGGCAGTAGGTGAACATGGGGACTCGGCGAGTCAAGTCAACCAAATGTTGACTTTGACCAGATGATTTACCATTAACCAAGGTGTTGACCTTGACCTTGTCTTGGACTTGATTTGACCCTTGTAAGGGTTACGAGGATGAATTGATAAGTTAGAAAAGTTGTTGTGTAGGGATTGAGAATTCGAGGAGAGTTGGTTTTCCTACCGAGATCAGTGCAGACACTACACGACTTTGAGCTGAGTTTTCTCCTAGTAGGAGTGGGTCTACGGCCACAATGTCATCCCACAAGTAAGAGTGTTGGATAGATGATTGTCTTCGTGATAATTATCTAGTGTTGATATGAGATATGTTTATTGTGCCTGATATGATTATTGCACTTGATATGTTTACTGTGCTTGATATGTGTTAGCAGTAGTAGGGGTGAAATAGTCATTGGTTACCGGTTGAAAGATACCGAAGGGGAGGGTAGCTCCCATTTACCGGTTGAAAGATACCGAAGGGGAGGTTAGTTCCCGGTTACCGGTTGAAAGATACCAAGGAGGAGCCCAGCTCCTGGCTATGTCCGACAGTTACCGGTTGAAAGATACCGAAGATTATGCATTATTTGGTATGGGTATGATGGGGGAACTCACTAAGCTTTGTGCTTATGGTTTTAGTTTTGGTTTCGGGTACCTCTTCATCTAAGGGTAAGGAGTCGGCGGTGTAGCAGCGCATCACACATTCACACATGATATTCCGCATTTGAGAAACCTGGGATTGTACTCTGATACTATACTATTTGCTAATATGGTTTTGAGACTTGTGATTTGTGACTTCATGTTTGGAAGGATTTCAATGTTGTTTTCCGTTAACTATTTTTACAAGTAACATACTTTAAAACAAAAAAATTTGGGTCTCGATTTTGGGATGTTACATAGTCCTTGGTAGATCATTTATAATAGTTAGTTTTGAAGAATATTGTTCATGAACATTTGTTGATTATTTCTTGAATTATTGTGTATAATTCAGATTGTTGTCATTGTTTGGGATGCGTTTCTCATTCGTTGCTCGATTTCAAGTCAATAGGTATTGGCTTGTCATCAAATATCATTTGAAGGATGCTTTCCAAATTTTGATAGAATTGAAGTTAATATGTCTTAACTTGTTTTTACCCGATATTCAATCTATAGGTCTACATTGTCTATCGAATCTATCAATTTTTCTTATTTTATTCTTATTTTTTTTTATTGTTTTTGTTTTCGCTGCAATCATGAAAACCTAAAAAGAAATCCCCCCCCCCCCCCCAATTTGTATCATTTTAAGATATCAGTTTTTTATTTTCTTTATTTAAGTTTTTTCTTTTACTTTTAATAAATGTTTAACAGTATAAAAAACAAAAATACACATAATTTCATACATTATCGTCAATTAAAAGTAAGGTGTTTTAATGATTTATACTATTATAAGTGATCATTGTCACACGTCACAAAAAATACCATGAAAATATATTTTTTTGTCGTTCTGCAAGAAATAGTTTCTAATAATGATACAATGTTTCATTTTTAATTGATGTCAAAAACACTATGTTAAACGCATATTAATAAGAGTAAATTACACGAATGGTCCCTATGGTTTAGGGTAATTTGCGCGTTGGTCCCTAACTTATTTTTTTAACTCGGAATGTCCTTATTGTTTGTTTTTGTTACTCGTTTGGTCCCTATCGTACCTAAAAAAAACTATTTTTCCCTTTATTTTTTAATTTATTTAAATAAACACACTTCCAACCTCACCCTCACCTTACCTTATCTACCCCACAATTTTTCCATATTTAAATAATAGTTTTTTTAGGTAAAAAAATGACCAAACGCTTAACAAAAACAAATAGTAAGGATCTTCCGAGTTAAAAAAAAATAAGTTATGGACCAAACGTGTAAATTACCCCAAACCATGGGGACCATTCGTGTAATTTACTCTATTAATAATAAAAAATTTCTATTTTTCATAGGTTATTATTTTTTTTTTTTTTGTGAGGGGTGTCAATAATCTATGTCATCTCTAATTCACTTTATCATTGTAAGGTCAAATTCACTTTAAAATTTAATCGTAGTAAAAATCATAAATCGCGATGACTAACATAATTTATTAAAAAGTCATCTTACCATTGTTTTTAATATACGTTTAACATAGAAGTTTTGACGTCAAATAAAAATGAAACATTGTATCCCTGTTAGAAAGATTCCTAACGGAACAAAAAAAACTTTTCAATTTATGGGCTTTTTGTGATGGTTATCAACAATCAATTTTAATAATGTAATTCATTAAAGTATCTTATTTTTAACCGAAGAAAATGCATGAAATTATGTGCATGAAATTATGTGCTTTTTTGTTCTTTATACTATGTTAAACATATGCTAAAAAATTTGAAATAAAGAAAATAAAAAGTTAATATTTTTAAAACATAAAAAAGTACAAAACTGAAATTAAAAAAAAATGATATTTAATAACATAAAAACAATAAAAAAACTGAAAATACAAGAAAAAAACACTAGTTTAATAAATATTTGTAAAACTATACTATATTGATAAATATTTTTTACAATAACAAAAGCTTTAATTTTAAAAGTTTATATTTTTCCATTGGAAATATGCGAAGTAGCTAGTATTCTAAGGCTATTTTGGTGGAAGGCAAACTTAGACTTCTCAATCTATACATTTTTATTGACCTTAAATTTCAAAATGAAGAAAATAAGGATCACACATTCACACTTGCCTTCGGCCGGAAAAAAAATATGAGCCAGTTGTATACATGTTAAACTAGAGTAAATTACAATCATTTGAATAGAATATTAACAATTTGCATACTAGCATGTATATGACCAATCATACCCTCTATAAAAATGCTTTCCAATTACTTCATTTTTGCAATACCAACCTTGTATACACTTACAAGAAAATAGTTTGACATGGAAATCGAAATTGTTTCCAAAGAATGCATAAAACCATCGTCCCCAACACCATCCCACCTGAAAACATTCAAGCTTTCTGCGTTGGATTACATCGTTTTAACTCCTTTCATTCCAGTCACATTGTACTACCCAAATTCTGATGGCATAACCATTACTGAAGCTCTCGAAAGGTCTACCACTCTAAAAGAATCTCTGTCAAGAACATTGACGCAGTTTTACCCTCTCGCAGGTACCATATTAGATGATTTTACCATTGACTGTAACGACAACGGTGCTCAGTATATTGTCGCCAAGGTTCATCGTCGTCTTGACGAGTTTCTGAACAATCTTGACCTCCCATCGGTGAATAGGTTTTTACCATGTGAACCGAGTTTCAGTGGGTCAACTGCAGGTTCTCCTGTGACTAACGTTCAAATCAACATTTTCGAATGTGGTTCCATTGCTATTGGCTTGTGCATCTCGCACAAGGTCATTGATGGTGCTGCACTGACAGTTTTCCTAAAGGGATGGACCAACATGGCTTGTGGATCAACCGAAATGGTGTACCCGAACTTCACGGCACCATCTCTTTTCCCTCAGAAGGTCTTGTCCCTTAGAGCGACATCAATGGGGCTATCTATGCCGCTGTTAAAGCAAGGGAAATGTACCACAAGAAGATTCGTGTTTGAATCAGATTCGGTAGCCAAACTGAAAGCCGAAGCAATAGAAAACGGTCTCCAACGGGCATCACGTCTCGAGGTTGTATCCGCTTTCATCTGGAAGTGTGCCATGGCAGCTTCTAAAGAAGTTTGTGGATTCCAGAAAGCATCTGGTTTAAGCCAAATCGTGAACCTTCGCACAAAACTCAACCAACCCATGTCACAGAACTTCATTGGGAACTTGGTTTGGCTTGTACTAGCTACATCCGAAGCTAACCATGAGCCCACAATGCATGGTTTGGCGACAAGGGTGCGGGAATCGACATCAAAAGTCAATAGCGAGTTTGTGGAAAAATCACAAGGCGATGAAGGGCATCTTGTGATGCAAAAGTCGCTGGAAGACTTGGTGGAGATCCTGTCGAAAGAGACCATGGATGTGTACGGTTTCACGAGCCTGTGCAAGTTGGGTTACTATGAATTTAATTTTGGTTGGGGGAAACCGATATGGATGACAGGTATAGTAGCCGAAGGGAGCCCGGTGTTCATGAACATGGTGAATATGTTGGACATGAAATCTGGTGAAGGAGTAGAAACATGGGTGCACTTGGATGAACCGGAAATGGAGATACTAATGAAGAATCAAGAGTTACTTGCATATGCTTCGTTAGATCCAAGTCCATTGAAAAATGGAAATTGATTCAATGGAGCAATGGATCAACGTATTTTATAATATATTTTCATTTAATGCGATGTATTTTCTTATGCAGAAATCAAAATAATAAAATAGATTTGGTTTTCTTTGGATCGAGTTCACATCCCATTTTCTTTAGTAGAGTCTACTAACAAAATTTTCTTATTCATTCAAACCTACCATCATGTACTCATTGACCGTTAAAATAATTCTTTCAAAATAAACACATATGCGACCTACAAATCTTCCCTAATAAATAAACTACAAATCTTCCCTAATAAATAAAGATATTTTTGCTAAATGTTATATTTTTATTTATTTTGGTATTTTAAATTAATTTTTATTCCACAAGTCATTTTATGGTTTTTTCTTTTTATTAAATTCCAGATAGTGTTTAAATGCAATAATAAATGCATATCAATTTCATTAATAAACTTTCTTTCTAATTTCAAATTAATAAATTAAAGATTCATTAATTTTCTTTATTTATTTATCTAAAATATTTGTTTAAATTTAAAAGAAAAAAAACGCTTTAATTTTTACAACTCAATATTTTCTTATTTTTCTTATAAATTCAACTTCTCAAACGTTTAGAATTTTGTATTTAGTTCTTCTTTTAAATAAACTCATTTAATATATGAGTCTTACGTCTCGTAGTCAATAAACCACATATCCTTAACTCTATTTTTTTAATTAAAGTATCTATATATTTCACAAAGAAAAAGAAAAAAAATGAAAATGACGCCTTTATGCTCGGGAGATTAGAACAAAAAAGTTCTAACAAACTTTCCAATATTGGAAATGTATTAAAAGTCCTCAAATCCCCATATACAATGAAGTTTAAAATCCATGAAAAAATATTTTAAACTAAAAAACTCAAAATCCTAAGTTTAAAATATTTGGAAAAAATATTTTAAACCGCATTCGGAGGGATACATTGTGCGTCTTCAAGCATTCCGTCTCTCCAGTCTCCGATCTTACCTTCTCCTCCTCTTGACATTGGTTAAGTGCTTTAATCGTTGTTATAATTCTGTGTGTCCGCCTATCTAGGGATGTCAACGGGACCAAACGGGAGCGGAAATACCTACCCCCGCTCCCGCCCCGAAATCAGTTGTTGCCCTCGCTCCCGGTCCCGCCCCCGGCTCCCCCGTTTTCATAGCCCCCGGTCCTGCCCCCAG